ACCACTCCTAGAAAGGCCAGAAAGTAAATACGACCCCCCTCCCAACAATGAGCAAGTACGACCCCCCCCTTTACAACGTCCGTGAAGCGAGAAAAATCAACTATCAAAATAAATTTTTCTCAGCCCAAATACGACCCCCCTCTCCTGGCGGCCAAATACGACCCCCTGTTGGGGATTCCCCAACAACGATGTGCCCTGTATTCATGCAACCGCGGCCGCTTCATGTCAGTCCCTTCGCTTCATATTTTACTTCGCAAATGAAGCAATACGAGCATCAGGTACGGTCGTCCATTTGTGGGCGGGCGGGCGCGGTGGTCCGGGTCGGTATGTTGCAGCTTGATAGGGCCTTATAAGGGTACCTTCCTTGGAAAAGGCGCTACGCAGCGCCTGCTTAGGGGCGCGAAATTCTGTCGTGCCAAGCGTATTGAATCCTATCCAGGGGTCTCATCACTGCAGCAGCCAGTGAAAAACACAACTGTGGTGAGAGTGTATGGAGAAGAGCAGTTGCCGAAAAAAAAACAGTTTCCGATCAGAAACGAAAATCAACACTCCTATACTTTGCTGAAAGCATTATGAGCATTAGTACCCCCACGAACCTCGATGGAACATACTCCAAATCATAGTGGCAAGTGTCCAAATCACTGCCGGTTGGTCGTACGGATCTGGTTCCGAACCATCATATCCCTTGAGACATTCCCAAGGCATCCAGCTGAAATCCATAATCAGACTTATGATATTCTACGGTCCTTAAATGATAGGTGCACCATCCTCACTGTTTCAGGGTCTGTGTAAGCTAAGTACCGGATGTTGGTAGTCATGACTTGACTAGTTGGGCTGTCTTTTTGAGCTTTTTTTTAAATCATTCTTCTGATAGTTTTCAAACAAAATAACTGCCACGTTTGGCCATTCAGCGGCATTTACCTCGCCCAGGGAAAGTGCCTGGCCGAGCCGGTCCGCTGGCGTAGCCGGCCCGAAACAGCAGGGGAGCACGGTGGCAGTCCGAGTGATCGACTGGTTTTCGATAGTGAATAGATTGGCAATGTTGCTCGCCCGTTGAGCATTATAGTGAGCAAAGACTGTCGTAAAAGGCTAGATATGTTGAAGTGTAAATACTAGCAGCTCTTTAGGTGGGACCAGGAGAGGATACCTAGATTATTGTTTATTTCGCTTTTTTTTCGAGAATTTTTCGCGTTTGGCTCTCGCGCGACGCTAAGATGTGGGAACAGTTCTGATTAATATGCAAGAAGGCGTCCCTATGCGTTCGTCGCTAGACGTTTAAAGGTCGCTACGATGAAGTTGCTAGGTTTCCCTTGATTCTTGTCATGCTGTGGCCCTGATAAGATTTGGGCGCTGTTTCTTCGACGACCCCGCCCCAGGTGGGGCATTTTTAATTATCATTGCTTCCCTAGTTTCCGAGTTTACAACATTCGCATGGCTCAGTAAATTGTGGATTTGTGAATCTGAAGTAGATGGCCTAGCCGTTATTCCTAAAACGTTGCGTCAACTCGATAAAGATCCTGATGGGTCGACAGATCTTTATGGAAAAAAAATACCCTCCCCTTCTGACACTGCGCCGTACAGAGTTATTAAGGTCAAGGAAGTTAGAACAGCTGGGAGAAGAAGGGCTAAGGTTACACAGTGTTTTATCCAGAATCCGTACTCTACCATCTCGGTGTCATATCCGAACAGAGAGTCTGGCTTGACTTAGCTTGGCTTTAAGGGAGCATTTTGCTAGTTTCCAACATCATCATTGCCGATGCCTCCTGTGGCCAGTTGTAAATTCCTGTAGAGCTGTGCGACAGCATGGGCTTCATTTACGGTGAGTGAAGAGTCCAAGGTGAATCGTGTAATTCAACAGAATAATGCAATAGAAACTGGTGAGCGTGCAAGACCCTCTGCCCCACCCCTAAACCGAACAAGGCTGTCTGCCATCAATAGAATAGACAACAGAGCGTTAAAGGGAGAGAAAATGGCTCACCGGCATCGTTCCACGTCTTCCATATATATTCTTTTCGGAATCAATCCTGTTGACAGACCAAAGACAACGACCTGAGGAGGAATATATGAGTGACAAGTCAAGCTGAGGTGCTGATCAACACGTATGGTTTCAGCATTAGTTGACTGAGAGCTGAAGGTGGATCTCGTCCAAGGCCTTAGTGGTTGAGAAACGTCTAAAATGACTGGGCAGTGAAAAGGGCGCTCCGAGAGCGCAGTCCACGTTGATAATATGGGCGGAAAAGGTCGCCCAGTGTGTCTCCCTCGTTCGCGCTTCTCTACTCGTTAGTTCAGGAGAAGAGACTGAAATGAGGGAAGGACCTCAATGATTTACCGCACCGTGGCCTCTAGGAACGTGCAAAGTATAACTGGTAGTCGGAACAAGCCGAAAACTCACTTTCAACACCTGGTTTGCAGTCAAAAGGCAGACGTCGATCGACAACTTTTTGTGGATGAATTTGGTACGCTCAAAAAAGTCTATCACTGTGGCCATTTGTCGAGCAAATTTAAGAAGCTGCAATTGTGATACTGTTTAGTTGAATTCCTCTTGAATTGATCGTCTTAAGATCTCGAGAAGATCTGGCGTTATCGGTAATTTTTTTGGATAGACTCCTAGACCAGGTGGAAGGAGCAGGGAGTCTGATGACAGTAGAACTAGGTAGTTGAATGGGGTGGGTAAACTAACCTCACTGGAGCTCCTGGGTTGTGCCGTCACGTAGCTAGATAGCGATTCTACAGCCGTATCTTCGAGAAACATAGTAATTTGAGTGTCAGACACCATACTACCCCACAGCCGTTGTGTGTTCCTGAATACGTAAAAATGCTGACAAAGGGGTTTCTTTCTTGGAAAGCACGTTTCATGATAGAAAAGGTGCTGAGGTTCGATGAATGAGGTTCGATGAATTTGCATTCACTCCTCAGCAAGGAGAAAGTAGAAGAAATCCTAAAAAAACACCTTGCGCGGTTCTCCTTTATGCAGTTAATTTTGGAGCTTTGTGTGAGGTTATAGTGAAGAAACACTGGGCGCGCTGATGAGGTACCAGACGACGAAGGGGAAGAGAACACACAGACGCGCGAAACCCCCGTTTCCCGTGAGCGATTTGCAGCGGATTCTTCTCCTTCTTGTGACACGGCGCCGATTCAGCGGCCGGCTTGGCACAGACAGGCCCTTTTCTCTGGAAGAATTAGAATGTATCAAAAACCGGATGGATTCATGGGGATGCGGTCAACCCTTAGTGGGAAGCCCAGCTTCAAGCGGTAAAGGTGGCAGTACATCCATCAGTGCGGCCCTGAACCCAACTTTCAACTTGTATGGAGAAGGAATTAGCTAGTAGTCCAATGTGAAATTACCATGATTAGGCCCAAAGTAAAAGCAGTAGTCAACACAAGTCAGACAGATCAATTTCCTGAACCTAGCGCATGCTCCATTCATCCTACATATACGCCCGCCTCATACGCTAGTATCAATCTACCGGACAACTCGCCCGAAATCACCTGCACAGCAATGAAGCCATTTCTTACAATCCATATCACAGGAGGGGAGTGTCCATGCACTTGGTTGTAAGTGCAGCAGTGGAGACCATAACCAGTAAAGAAGAGACGTAGATAGCGCTTAGACAAGAGTGTCCGAATGGCACCAAAAACACCTCTAATCTTTCAGCTCGTACCAGAGCACTCCTGCAGTTGTTGTAAATACAACCCCCTTCCTTGAGATTCTTCATCTGATGCGACCCTTCCCCCTCTGCGACGATCCCACCTCTCGCTTCGTGAACGTTCCCGATTTCCTACAGTTCCCAAGCGTCCGCTTTCATCGCGTTCTTATGATGAACGCGCTTCAGCTATTTCTAACTTCGTATTGGACGCAAATATCCATTTATTATGTTCCTCGAGCAGCGGTGTATTAGGCCAGTTTAGTTGTAAATTGACCCACAGAAAAGTGTAAGACTGGGTAACTGTCTTGAGTACAGCAAAGCGACTCACAAGCAACCAAAGTCCTTGAAATTTGCGAGGTCGTTGATGATAACGTTCCGTTCTTCGGGTCTTAAATCGGCAACGACGATCGAAAGCACTTGTATAGCTTTGTTGCCTGGGAAGAGGATCTTCCTTCTTTGCACTTTCCCAACTTCATATAGTGTCTCGAATGAAGCAGCCGGGACTTCCACAACTGGAGATATCTGAAATAGCACCATATCATAAACATCCTAGGGAATAGTCGGAGGTTTCCGCAGGAGTTCAGTAGTCAAAAATTCTGAGTATAGCTTGAAGTGATGCTGGCAGTGCTAGCAGACGGTGCAATTCATGCAGTGAGCTCTGCATGGGAAGCTGCACCGTCTGCTGCTTTGAATCCCACTGGGTATGTGAACGGATGAAATCGGTAAACATGCGTGCTGGGCGCAGTAGCGAGACGCAGCTGAATGCCGCTGCACGAGTAGGACGAGTTTGTCCAATCCGCTTTTGAACTGACTCGTTAAGGCAGCGCCTTCGTCCATTTGTTGTCCCATGCCTCTTCGATATAAGTCCTGCTCCTGTGAGGATGAATGGACGTACTAGTATGGCAACTCAAAAATGCCGAGCGAGTCGGGCGGGAGCGGCTCGTGAAGTAGCTCGACCGCCCCGCCCACCTGGCGACCACGACGCCCAACTTCATTTCTAATGGTTGCCTGATGGTGCGGTTGTTCCATTGCTGCTTCTCTCCACGTCGTGTGGTGAGAGTGAGGTGATAAGGGGAAACAGCTGATATCAACAAGTGAGAACTCGTGCGACCGCAGCTTCTTTTCGCCTTAAGCACTGGGGTGCTACCCCCTTTTGCTCGCGTGGGGTCCTCATATAATGCATATCGATAATTTTGTTTGGGCATTATTTTTCCCACTAAGGACTGCTTGCTGCCTTGTTGTCATGTCTGAGTCACAACTCATCAAACTGAACCCGGGCGCTGCCTTTAAAAGATAGCACTCAGCATGAAGTCTTGCCCCCCGATAGATTCACACGAGTTTCGCTGCTGCAGGTCACATTTGAGAAGTTATGCCGTCACGCAACTGCAGACGAATGCACGCGTGCGTGCGACGGAGCAGGCAAATTACGATGGCCTTGTACGTCTCCCAATCTCAGTTGGGTTGTTCTACCGGTGGCAGCTAATTGACCTGAGACGTTCAGAAACCCTGCTTAGCAGTTTTAGAACTGTTCGAAATCAAATGGTATACCTGATCTTCTCGCCAGACATATTGTCTCTGAACTGGTTGCAGGCGTTCCTCAGCGATGAATTTACCCAACTTCCTAGCACATCCACTAATTATTAGCTCGTTCGCTGCACATTTCACCTAGAATTTGAAGATTCGTGATTGAAAAGGCTCGATGATCAGCGTAGAAAACACTTCTTATCCCGGAGATGGAGAGGGCGTGGCTGCGTGCTTCATTCTGATATGGAGTAGGATGTGTTTCACGTGAAGTATTTCCATTCGAGTGTCATCCTGCCTTGTAGTGGGCAAACATATTATTACGGCTGTCGCAAAACGAAAATATCAAATCAAACTTCCAGCCAACGTTACGCTGAATTGAACTAAAATCCACGCCCAGCCCATCTCCGGGAATCGAGAATACCTTTCGTTGCTCTAACTTCTGTGTTTAGAATGAAAGGGCACTGACATATAAGTCAAGGGATGGCTCATCTGCCCCACAAGGGTTTCACTCATGTAGGATCTTGAAATTTCCACAGTACTATTGACTGCCAACCAGTTGAGATCAAAGTCCACGATAGCAGGCTATGGTGGGGTTCAGGTCTCCAAACATTTTGAAGGAAGAAGAACAGAGAACCTTCAACCTCTCAGCGCGCTAAACTCCCTTTTTAGCGTTGTAAAAGCGTAGGGAAAAAGCGCTGAACGCTCGAAAAACCGTTCAAAAAGAGCATGAGAGCCCACAGACGACCTGAGAATGACACTGCGCATGAGTGGCGTTTGCCCCAAGGGGAATAGTCAAAAATAACAAGCCTCTCGCGCCCTTGCCGCACACTTTCGAGAAGCGAATGTAATATAGCTTCTGAGGGTGGCAGATCTGATCACCTCACTCGTGCATGGAATAGTTCAGTTTGAGCTAGCCATGCACTATACCTTCAATTTTTTTATACCCTACATATTCAGAACAGTCACCTCTATTGTTCTGAATGGAAGACGAATACGTGGCGCATCCTAAAAGGGATTTATTATAACCTGTTATGTACATGTAATAGGTACACTAAAATTAGTCGGGGCTGGGTCAGTTAAACGTTGGTTTTAGCGCTGCGCCAGCTCATTGTTGCGGCTTCGAGGAGTGCGCCAAGACCCACGACTGACACGCTTCAGCTGACTTCAGCGACAACACTGTATTGTACGTTCGTAGCCAGAGAAAACATAAGAGCCTGAATTTAAGAGAAGAATAGAATTTTCCGAGAAGTAGTCTTGAAAAGCGAACCCATTGGAATTCCATTGAACGATTTTTGCTCGCTTACAGTGTTTCGAATTCACAGGCAAGTGGCACGATAAATTCTCAAGACGTGTAGGAATACAACGCCTAGCAGGACAGATTTCGGCGCCCCTGAGCAAGCGCTGCGTGGCGCCTTTTCCAAGGGAGGTACCCTTATAGCATCCCTATCAAGCTGCAACATACCGACCCGGACGCCCACCGCGCCTGCCCGCCCACAAATGTCCGACCGATGCTGATGCTCGTATCGCTTCATTTGCGAAGTACAATATGAAGCGAAGGGATTGATATGAAGCGGCTGCGGTGCTGCATGGATATATGAGTACATACATGCAGCCGTATCTACCTGGCGGTGATTGGCACGATGCCAACGGGAAATTCGTCCGAAATTGCTTCAGAATCTTGTAGAACAAAAGGCTTTTTTCGCAGAATTTTGACCGTTTCACTTCGCTTTTTCGCCATTTTCCCCACTAAATTGCGACTATACTACCATGTTAGATTTCCAAATTGTCGTGACTTGTACCTTTTAGATGTGATCAGTAATTACCGAATAGTATTTGATGACGTCCTCCCTAACAACGAGAGTGAATCGACACCGTTCCCGACCGCTGATCATGGATGGAGGGGCATCTATCAGGACACATTGCTCTGAACAATGATGAAATTACTGAAACGTCGCCAATTTATCAAGTGTGGTCTAAAGAGAACCCCACGATCATTCCAATTTTCATTGCGCATGAACTTTTTGTATCGAACTTCAAAGCCTAATGAAGTGGGGAAAAGCAAAGCTCTGGAATCCACTTGGACTGGCCCTATAAGACTCGATTTGAACCTACGCGTTCAAGTGACCGCTACCATTCTAAACGCAACACGGCACGTCGTATGCATTCCTCCAGCAACCAAATACGACCACTTGGCGCGGGAGTCGTACTTCGTCGCTGGAGGAAGGGGAGTCGCCATCGGCTCATGAAAAATATTTCTGAATATTGAAGTTTTTTCCGCTTCTCCCCTTCACGTGCGCTACGTATACTCCCCCGCGCTTGGCGAGATAGTAATGGGAATTTTGAAGGAAGTGAGAGGGGCATTTGCAAAATTCGCTGAAGATATTCTTAAAGGAATTAACAGTTTCTAGCCCTTGTTCCATCCTATGTGAAAGGAACTTACTTTCCGAAGTAAGGAGACAGTCTATGTTTGAACTGTCGAGCAACGATCCCCAGTAATAATATGTCAAGCTGACGAGCTCATACGCCCTGGAAATGTGTAATTTCAAAGAAGTCAGAAAAAGTTTTAGAAAGGTCCTCTCCACCCAGGGCACAGCATCACTGGGTAAATCCTATCATGGCGGGAGGGGGAGGGGGTCGTAGTTGGTCGCTGAAGACTGTGTAAACTTAGGCAGATGGCACTCACTATAGAGAAGAGGGTCGTACGAGATGAGGAAATTCGGGGGGGGGGCTCGCACTGACACCACCAGTTCACACATCACGGTGCTGCACCCTGTTCAAATCCTGGTCACAAGCAATATTTCTGCTCTGACTAAACAGTGTACGTTTTATATGTAACAAATACGTTAATGAGCTGAAAGAGACGACGTGACTGTCCTAATTGCAAGCACGGCATGGTGCATTACTATCGGGAAGTGCGCACAAAATCACGCAGGAAGTAACATAGGTGTGTGGACGAAGTGCGTAAGTAGATGGTTCGAGGACAAAACGGCGGCTCGTGGTCGATGGAAGGATTGGTCTTTTCTTTCTCATTCACGCTAGAGCGACTAAAAAGTCGTGCAATTCTATGGCGAATATCGATTATGCGCGCGCATGTACCGTCAGTTTGGAACTTGCGTTAGAACAAACCATATCGATTATGCGCGGACGCGAATCCAGTTAAGTTTTCAGTCATTATGCGCGCGCAAAGCGATGATCCTTTACAACATGGGTGCGACTGAAATGTGGAATGTGGAAGTGTCCTCAAGATGTGGAAGTGTGGAAGTGTGTCCCAAAGCTCACTTGCGTTCGTTAGTTTCTCTGACAGCCGCGCTGAAGTCCGACTCTTCTCCTTTCTTCTTTCCCGTTCTACTGGCCATCTTAACACAAACACTTGATTGCTGCAAAAATTGTTCGAAATTGCTTGACCTACCTGAATGCTGCGTTTCAAGTCGTCAAAATGTGGAGGGAAGGGTGTCGGGTTCACCACATTTTGTGCGCCCAAACCCGTCGACATTCACAGGTTCTCCGTGAAATGGTGCTCGACCGTTCTTCAGCGGTACTTCAATGAACTGAGCCTTCGCATGAACGAAGACTCACATGGAGATAAGAGATATCAGGATAACGGATCAAAAGCTGCTGATAAGGGTTCAGTGAATAGCTCGGAAGAAGGAAGCTCATTCCCGACAGGCTGTCAGAGTGAACCACTCAATGAAGGTTATCGAGAGGGCTTCATTACCGTCTTCCACCGGACTTTTTGTCTCCGATAAATAGCTCACGAGGAGCCTAATACGAGTCATATCAGCGGCACTACGTTCCAATAATGTGCAACGAATCACCGTACCAACATGCAATCAATCATGTTATATCGAAGTCTCGGTACCGTTTGATTTAGAAGGGGGCGGGAGAGGATGGAAGCATTTTGCACGTTCGCTAGTTTTCTTGGCCGGAAGCCTACAAGAGAATCGTATTCAGGGCACATCATTAGTTGGGGATTCTCGAGTCGAGTCCGTGCGACATCCTTTCAAAGAGTGGCTTGATAGAACTCCCCTACCCTCTGGCTACCTCCTCTGCAGGGCACAGCATTAGTTGGGGATTTTGGTCGAGCCCGATCCCCCCCCTTTTGGAGGTTCGGTACGACCCTCCCCCTATACATAAACTTATGAAGTTT